CTTCCTGTTCCTAGCTCCTGCTCCTACCTCTTTTTCCTAGCTCCTGTTCTTAGCTCCTGTTCCTAATTCCTGTTCCTAGCTCCTGCTCCTACCTCTTTTTCCTAGCTCCTGTTCTTAGCTCCTGTTCCTAATTCCTGTTCCTAGCTCCTGCTCCTACCTCCTTTTCCTAGCTCCTGTTCCTAGCTCCTGTTACTAGTTCCTGTTCCTAGCTCCTGCTCCTACCTTCTGTTCCTAGCTCCTGTTCCTAGTTCCTGTTCCTACCTCCTGTTCCTAGCTCCTGCTCCTAGCTCCTGTTCCTGTTCCTAGCTCCTGCTCCTACCTCTTTTTCCTAGCTCCTGTTCCAAGTTCTTGTTCCTAGCTCCAGCTCCTACCTCCTTTTCCTAGCTTCTGTTCCTAGCTCCTGTTCCTAGCTCCTGCTCCTACCTCTTTTTCCTAGCTCCTGTTCCAAGTTCTTGTTCCTAGCTCCAGCTCCTACCTCCTTTTCCTAGCTCCTGTTCCTAGCTCCTGCTCCTACCTCTTTTTCCTAGCTCCTGTTCCAAGTTCTTGTTCCTAGCTCCTGCTCCTACCTCCTGTTCCTATCAGTCGTGTTTTCGATGTTTTTTAGACTGCTGTGCTGAACTTCCCTTGGAGTTTCTGTGCTGCTTTGAAGGTCTGTCTGTTAGTCTTCATGAGCCTGAACCATCCTTATTGACAATGATGTTACGGAGCAGCGCCTCCATATCCCAGGTAGAGTCTTTTCTTCAGGTGAACTGTGTTCAGAGGAAGGACATCTGACCTGCTCTACGGTGACTAGATCTAGTTAAACTGTTTAGACCTTCATACCTGGAGGACATCTGCTAATAAAACCCAGACAGGAGACACCAAGGTCAGGAAATTTTGACTGACTGCCTTCTGTCCCCAGGAGGGTCCATTTGTCTACATGTCTCTGGTTGGGACGGTGGAGACGTCTGAAGGTCCTCTGGCTGAACTCTGTGAGTCTTCTACCCATGTTTGTGCTGCTTTTATTCAGTCATTCAGCAAACAGCCAATCAGAGAGCTGTCCTCAGTATTACAGAGACGCCCTCACTTTATCCCCCTACACCAGAGTACTGCTGCCCTGTGGTACTATCATACTACTTCAGTGCTTTATCATCTCAGCTCTGCTCTAGGAACCTACGTGTCTCACGTGTCTCACCTGTAGGGAAGGAGTACGGTAAAGCAGACAGTCGCTGGTTAGTTTCTGACCCCACCATCGTCTCCTTGGAGATCCTGACGGTCGTCCTGGGGTCCCTGCTGGCTCTACTTCTGATACATGCAGTACTCAACGACAAGTACTACAGGTAGTACTATAGAATACCGCATCCTACTGTAGTAACACAGGTCCAACTACTAAAGGTGAATAGTACCGTCTCTCACCCTACTGAGAGAAGGCAGGTCAATGAACAGACTTTCCTTCCTTGAGTCTCAAACCATGCAGAGTCAAATTGACCCTTTTTTAAGTCATTCTGACCGAAAATTACCCTTGTACCCACACTGACCCCTACTGAAGAATGTTGACCCTTATTGACCCTTATTGACCCATGCTGGCCCTTATTGACACATGTTGACCCTTATTGACCCATGCTGAACCGTTCTGACCAATGCAATGTTTCTCAGACACTTCCTGCAGATCACTCTGTGCGTGTGCGAGCTGTACGGCGGCTGGATGACATTCTGTCCTGATTGGCTGTTGGGAAGTCCTCACCTAAACACCTCCAACCCGCTCTATCTCTGGATCTACCTGGTGTTTTTTAATGGACTCTGGGTGCTGGTTCCGATCCTGCTGCTGGTCCAATCCTGGTTTGTTCTAAAGGGTCTGCATGGAGTCAGAGGAGACAGCACCTCCTCCCACAGGAAGAAACTGTAGAGACCAGCAGGTGATCCGCATCAGAGCCTTCAGGCTCCCAATGTTTGAGCTGATCAGAGATTTCTGGCTCTGATCGGGTCGGACTGATGTAGTTCGGTATCAGGATGGACTAATCAGACGCTTGGATCATCACTAAAACCTTTATTAAACATCATCTCTATAAATAAAACCAATGGCTCAAGGGATCCTGTCCTGCAGAACCAGAACTCTTCCTCCTCCTCTCAGGCCCTCTTGATCATCTTGGCGACCGCCTTGAAGGCTTGGCCCAGACCCAGTCCCTGGGTGGCGCTGCAGGCCTGGATCTCCCACAGCCTGTCTTTGATGTTGGGCAGGTCCAACTTGGTGGAGACCTGAGGAGAAGATGGAGCATCTGTTAATGTTCTGCAGAGGAAACATGTTGGTGCAACTGGTTATACTGCTCCACTCTGTCCGACAGAACCTTGGAAAGCAGAATCTGATAAATAAAATTAATCTTTGAGGACAAAAAGCAATCAGTGACGTCTACATTTCTGTTTATCTGACTTCCTCCGGCATCCCGGATCTGGTTACTCTTTTTCTATTAAAAACTGGGAAGAACCACAAAGACCAGATTGGCTTTGGATCCCTGCAGGTTCTCCTGTGGTTCCCAAGCCTAACCTGCCTTCAGTAGGAGGTATCGCTCCAGCTCGGTGATTTCACCTACGGTCGGTAGGAGGTATCGCTCAAGCTCGGTGATTCCTCCTGCCGTCAGTAGGAGGTATCGCTCAAGCTCGGTGATTCCACCTGCCATCGGTAGGAGGTATCGCTCAAGTTTGGTGATTCCTCCTGCCATCAGTAGGAGGTATCGCTCAAGCTCTGTGATTCCTCCTGCCATCAGTAGGAGGTATCGCTCAAGCTCGGTGATTCCTCCTGCCGTTGGTAGGAGGTATAGCTCCAGCTCGGTGATTCCACCTGCCATCGGTAGGAGGTACCGCTCAAGTTCGGTGATTCCTTCTGCCGTCGGTAGAAGGTACCGCTCAAGCTCGTTGATTCCTCCTGCCATCGGTAGGAGGTATCGCTCCAGCTCGGTGATTCCCCCTGCCATCTGTAGGAGGTATCGCTCCAGCTCGGTGATTCCCCCTGCCATCTGTAGGAGGTATCGCTCCAGCTCGGTGATTACACCTGCCATCGGTAGGAGGTATCGCACCAGATCGGTGATTCCTCCTGCCATCGGTAGGAGGTATCGCTCCAGATCGGTGATTACACCTGCCATCGGTAGGAGGTATCGCTCCAGATCGGTGATTCCACCTGCCATCGGTAAGAGGTATCGCTCCAGCTCGGTGATTCCTCCTGCCATCGGTAGTAGGTATAGCTCCAGATCGGTGATTCCTCCTGCCATCGGTAGGAGGTATCGCTCCAGCTCGGTGATTCCTCCTGCCGTCGGTAGGAGGTATCGCTCCAGATCGGTGATTCCTCCTGCCGTCGGTAGGAGGTATCGCTCCAGATC